TACTGTATATATTTTCTCCATTTTTTTTCACTTTCTCATTCATTGTTTTATTTTCTCTCTTATATTGAAAATCCAACGCATCCTCCATTTTCTCCCTTCCTCTTTCCTCACGCGTTCTTTCTCTTTCTACTTTATCTTCTTCAGATTTAACGAACTTTCCGATTTCCGTTCAAACCAAAACCGCTTCTCATTGCCTGCAATTTTTCCAACCGCCGCAACGTACGGGTAAGCAGCTCCTTCCACAATTTTGACCGTTGCACCGTCGTTTTGTTAACTCCCTCTTTTTTTCTTGATCTATTTTTGACTCACTATTAGTTTCTTCGACTTTTCCTTATCATTTGTTTGGTGGCTTAGAAAATGCCGGAAAACAAACCAAATCGGTGTTTTCTTCTTCTCTTTTTGTATTTTTACTTTTTTAATGTCGTTTATTTTGGTTACGTTAAACTGAGATAGGATAGTGTTGATCAGTTTTGTCTTTATGATTTTAATACTATGATAATAAGATATTCGATCAATTATTAGAATATTTATGTTCTGCTGAGTGTTGATCAGTGTTTGTTTTGGCGTGTAACTTCCACTATGAACTGTGTTATTACTTTTTAATTTTTGTTTTTTTTTTTACTATATTAATTCGTTGAATTTGGCTGTGACCTTAGTTTTTTTTTTTTTTTTTGTTTGCAGTTCGTTCCTTGGTTATGAAATTGGCACTACTCCTTCTATCCTTTATTTTTTAAAAAATATATATTAAATTTTTTTTGTAGAAAAATTGCCTATGATCAAAGAAAGGTTTCGGATCGTGTTTCCGCTAGGAAGTGGACTAAAGAAACTGCCATTTAAATATTCTTAAGGCTGCTTTTGTACTTTTTGTTATCATTATTTCTTGTTTTAGTGTTATTATTAACTGAACATGTTATATGAATATGCAAAAGAATGATCAGCTAGAGAATGTTGAAAAATATTGTGAAAAGACGAAACTATAGAAAAAAATCTAGAAAGAATGATCCCCCTTTGATATCCTATAAAGTGCAAAAATAATTACTCTGTTTAAGATCGAAGCAATCATAAGAAATCATGGCGTTTAATGCTTTGCAAGGCTTGCTTGATTAATGTGCATGAGCTCAATTGATTTGTATATCTTTTTCCTGTGTGTAGGTCTGTAGACATTTTTTCGTAAAACAAAATCTTTAATGGCATCAAGATCATGTGCAAATTTTTTACACTTAGCCTCTGGGGACCTACTTGATATTCCTCAAACTCCGAGAGCTCTTCCTAGGGTAATGACTGTTCCTGGGATCATCTCTGACCTGGATTCCTTTAGCAGTAATGATGGGGATTCAGATGTTACTTCATCTGGTTGTAGAGAACGTAAAATTATAGTGGCAAATATGTTACCTTTGCATGCTAAAAGAGATGCTGAAAATTCTAAATGGCGCTTCAGCTTGGATGAGGATTCACTTTTACTACAACTAAAGGATGGGTTTTCTCCTGAAACGGAGGTTATATACGTGGGATCTCTCAAGGTTGACATAGATGCCAGTGAACAGGAAGAAGTTGCCCAAAAACTTTTAGAGGATTTTAATTGTGTTCCTACATTTCTACCTCATGATTTGCAGAAGAAGTTTTATCTTGGGTTCTGTAAACAGCAGTTGTGGCCAATTTTCCACTACATGCTGCCCTTGTGTCCTGACCATGGTCATCGGTTTGATCGTTTTCTATGGCAGGCATATGTTTCTGCAAATAAAATATTTGCTGACAAGGTTATGGGAGTAATAAACACAGATGATGACTGTGTCTGGGTTCATGATTATCACCTGATGGTTCTTCCAACATTTTTGAGGAAATGCTTTCATAGAATTAAGCTTGGGTTCTTCCTCCACAGCCCATTTCCTTCATCAGAAATATACCGAACATTGCCTGTTCGGGATGAAATACTGAGGGGACTGCTGAATTGTGATCTAATTGGCTTTCATACATTTGATTATGCACGGCATTTCTTGTCTTGTTGCAGTAGAATGCTGGGCCTTGATTATGAATCTAAAAGAGGACACATTGGTCTTGATTACTTTGGGCGCACAGTGTTCATTAAAATACTGCCAGTAGGAGTTCATATGGGTAGACTTGAATCAGTGTTGAGTCTTCCCTCTACTGCTAACAAGGTCAAAGAGATTCAGAAACAGTTTGAAGGGAAAGAATTGATTCTTGGCATAGATGACATGGACATTTTCAAAGGCATCAGTCTGAAGCTACTGGCTGTAGAGCAGCTTTTACAGCAGCATCCAGACTTGCAGGGTAAAATAGTCCTGGTTCAGATTGTGAATCCTGCAAGGGGCTTTGGGAAGGATGTCCAGGAAGCAAAGAAGGAGACTTATCTGACTGCTAAAAAGATCAATGAGGTTTATGGTTCACCCAATTATCAGCCGGTGATTTTGATTGATCGTCCTGTTCCCCGTTATGAGAAATCTGCCTATTATGCACTAGCAGAATGTTGCATCGTAAATGCTGTGAGGGATGGGATGAACTTGGTTCCTTACAAGTATATTGTTTGTAGGCAGGGGACTCGTTGCATGGATGAGGCTTTGGCTGTAAAGTCAGATTCTCCACGAACAAGCATGCTTGTTGTGTCTGAGTTCATTGGTTGCTCACCTTCTTTAAGTGGAGCAATTAGGGTAAATCCATGGGATATTGATGCTGTGGCTGAGGCCTTAAATACAGCAATTACCATGCCCGAGTCTGAGAAGCAATTGAGACATGAGAAACACTACCGTTATGTCAGTACTCATGATGTGGCTTATTGGGCTCACAGCTTTGCACAGGACTTGGATAGAGCATGCCAAGATCATTATAGTAAACGTTGCTGGGGCATTGGTTTGGGCCTTGGTTTCAGAGTTCTGTCTCTTTCTCCAAGTTTTAGGAGGCTATCTATTGATCACATTGTTTCGGCATATAAACGAACAAATAGAAGAGCAATATTTTTGGACTATGATGGCACTGTTGTTCCTGAAGCTTCCATTATTAAAATTCCTAGCCCTGAAGTTATCTCTATCCTTAAGACCCTTTCTGATGACCCTAAGAATACTGTGTTTATTGTCAGTGGCAGAGGGAGAACTTCACTTAGTGATTGGCTTGCTCCATGTGAGACGCTGGGAATAGCTGCTGAACATGGGTACTTCATAAGGTACATTTATTAACATGTCTTGAATGTTTAGCCAGTAATGAATCTAAATGCTTAAACATAAACTGAGCTCATTTTCCTTTCTCCTCCTGCAGATGGAGTAAAGACTCTGAATGGGAAACCAGCCCTGTGGGTGCTGACCTTGAATGGAAAAACATTGTAGAACCTGTTATGAGCTTGTATAGAGAGGCAACAGATGGCTCCAGCATAGAGACCAAGGAGAGTGCTTTGGTGTGGCACCATCAAGATGCAGACCCTGACTTTGGATCATGCCAAGCCAAGGAATTGTTGGATCATCTGGAAAATGTTCTTGCAAATGAACCAGCAGTTGTTAAGAGAGGCCAGCATATTGTTGAAGTTAAACCACAGGTATGACAAAAGTGATTTTTCCCTCCCAAGTGCTGACACCTGTTTTTTTTTTCCCCTTTCTCATATTTATGTCTGTAGCATAGTTGAATCAAGCTTTCTCATCAATGTTCTTTTATCATTCAGGGAGTAAGCAAAGGGCTGGTTGCAGAAAAGGTTCTCTTCAGAATGGTCAATGGTGGGAAACCACCTGATTTTGTAATGTGTGTTGGTGATGATAAATCCGATGAAGATATGTTTCAGAGCATATTAACATCAGTTTCTAATCCATCATTGCCTGTGGCTCCAGAAATCTTTGCATGCACTGTTGGGCGAAAGCCTAGCAAAGCTAAGTATTACCTCGATGATGTTGCTGACGTTTTGAAATTGCTTCAAGGCCTTGCAACGTCTACAATTTCGAAGCCCTGGTGCCTTCCTGAGATGCAGGTTTCCTTTGAGAGTTCTGATTGACGTAAGCAGGGTGGCTGGCTCAAATTTACCAATTTTACACATTGTAGTGATCGATTTGCTTCGGGGGATTCCCTTGAATGAGGGAAAACTGGATCGTTAAATTATCTGAATCATTGTTGGTACTTTCCAGATATAGTTGTAAATGTGATACCAGCTCTGGAGATTGTTCTTTTGGTTGGGAGCTGAATGGCAGATTAACTGCCACAAAGTACCTGACAATGCTTATTCGTTGTATATGGATTTTCTGGTGCCAACAAAAAGCGAATGGGATCGGTTCTCGCTTGTTTATAGTGGTTTTACTGATTAGAGGCACCGTTGATATTGTATAGATACATTGCTCTCCAATACAAAATGCCAATTTGATTTCAGTTTAACTCGGTCCGCATTCACATTTCAAGACACACAATGCTGCCGGCTGCGGTTAGCAATTTCTTTATTTCATTGTTAAAAATGAAAATCAACTGAAAATTTTCTGAAAAGATTTAAGAAAGATGGGAAAGTAAAGAAGGGGGAAATATGGAGAAAAAAAAAAAACTAGACTAATGATGGAATATGAATTAATTTAACCTTTTGGCCTTCCACATGTTGCAGAAGAAGAATAAGGTTCTTTTGGTTCGTACGGAGGAAGAGAACTTTTGCGTCTTAAGCATCTTATAATTTACTTAATGATAAGTGTATTTTTTAAAAAAAAATTTTAAACAAAAAGAGAATATGAATATAAGTTATAACATCTTAAATTCATATAAGATACAGCAAATCATACTCTGAAAATGAAACAAATTATAATCGTGTTGAGTTTTATTAAGTTCATTAAAAGAACATGCGCAGTTGACATAGCAAATAGTTAAAACTTTTTGTTTTTGGTAAACTAAAAATAGTTTTATTTAGGTTCCTTCTTTTTTTCTTTTTCAATGAAAAATGAAAAGTATAAAATAAAAAGTAGTTGAAAATAACAAAGAAAAAGGAAAAACAGCAAGGAAACAAGCTTTAATTTTTTTAAAACAAATTGCTTGTCATTCAGTTATGTGTCAAATATACATCAGCTGTTACAATTGTTCGCAAAAATTCAGGATATTCCTCAACCCAATTACATTCCTTCATCATTCTGTAGTTCATGCTTTGCTAACCTATGAGCGGTTTCATTCCTATTTTCCTCGTATGTCTTATATTGCAAGACTTTAACTTGTACTGCTTTATTTCTGCCTTCCTCAACAATCGAACCAATGCGAGAAAGATCTTCACTCTTTGTTTGCAGCTTCGCTATTACTGATATGGCATCTCCTAATATAATTTCGTTTAAACCCATCTCTTTAGCAAAGTCCAGTTCCCAAGTTGCAGTAAGTGCTTCAACAGTAAAAGAATTTCCAATCCATTGCACTCTGTCACTATATCCACCCATGATTTGATTCTCTGCATCCCCGATTATCAGTCCTATTCCTGACAATTTTCGATCCTTGTCCACCGCACCATCAAAATTCATCATATAGAGACCGTTAGTTGGAGGTTTCCATCTTTGATCATGCGTTGAGTCCACCCTATGCTGCTGCCGCTGCTGCTGCTTTTGTGCTTTGTTGAGCTCCATCAAATACCTTTTATTAAACAAGGATAATGATGTAAAGACACATAGTAGATATTCAACCCCGTATTTTGAACTTTGAATTAAAACTTTATTGGTCTTACCGCTTTTGTTTCAACACCGTGAAGTGAAAATTTGTGGAGGGTCCAACAGTAATATGATTTGTTGATAGATTCAATTCTAACAATCTCAAATAAAACACTTTTGTGGAGGGAGGATTGAATGGGTTGTTTTGACATGAACTTAATCTTGTTTTGGGCTTGGGTTGTAATGTAACACGCCTAGGCTCTACAGGCTATAGCTTGAAATTGAGTACTTCAAAATGAAAAGGAAAGTGCCTTGGGCCTCTTTCTAAAAAATTACTGTTAAGCCCCAAACACTAGCTGAATGTTTGGTTGAACGGACCCTTATTCATTTGTTTGGTTTAAAAATTGCAAGTAACGGAAATTTAGAGACGCTAGTGAATTCCAAGTTTGATCGGAATTGCAAATCTTCTTCTCCTTTACTATTTGCGATTCTGTCAAATCAAGAAAATAAAAAATAAATGTCATTCCCATTTTACTCTTAACATAAAACTAAAGAATACAATCAGCGATATTATTCCGACCACCATTAATAGCTAGAAAATCATCGCAAATAAGAAACAACATCATTCCACAAGAGAACCAATACAAAAGAAAAAAAAATCAAAGTGATGGAGAGAGAGAAGGAGAACGGAGGAGACCGGTGGTGGTTGGAGGATCATGCCTAACAGGTGAAAGAGCCAGGTGAAATAAGAGATATCTCAATTTCAAGTGGTTTGGAGCGGCTGAGGATGGTGTTCTTTAAGGTGAAAATCATGGGCTTAGAGACAAGATTTAGGCTTAATTTGAAATAGACTGGACGTCCAACACTACGAGTTTAGGCACTTTTTTAGTGCAATCGAACTGGTTTTGTCGTCTGGGAAACAAAGAAATGGTTTGTTTGCACCCAAATTTTCTCATCAGAGTTGAAATTCTTACTGAAAGGAGAGGGGTGTGATGGTTCACCACACCTCTTATTGGACAATTATATCCTCAGATGTTATTTTTAGTCCAATTTTATTCTTATATTTATTTACTTATGTCCAATTTTATCCTCATGTATTAATGTTTTTTATTGAATAATGACATTAAAACTATCAAATAAAATATAATGTATATAAAAAATAATTTATTAATATAACACACTTTTATATTGATATTTTTAATTATAAATATATTATTATTATTATTAATTATTAATAAAATTATTATTTAATAAAAAGTAATTACAATAATTTTTAATTAATTATTAATTTATAAATGTTAAAAATATACTAAAACTTTTATTATATATAAATTTTAATTTAATATTTTTAATAATTATTTTTTCATTATATTTTATCTCACTACTATTATTATATTTATATTCAAATATAAATTTCATCATTAATTTTAATTTTTTAATTAAAATATTTAATTTTATTATTATAATAATTACTCTCATTTCAATTTTATTGAAACTAATTTTATCGTCTATTTAAATGAATTTTTAGAGTTTTGTAAGCTATTTTTGAAAAAATCAAGTTGATGCCCATAAAAGGTGGTCGAGATGAATACGTGGGTGAAATTTGATAAAAATTGACGTTGGTAACAACGACAAGTGGCGACTGCTGGCATCGATCAGCGGAGGACGCAAGGGTAGTGAATTGTAGAAGGAAAGGTTCTGAATTTTTTAGTTTTTAGTGAAAGAAAGGGAAATGAGGAAGAAATGGGAAAAAAGAGAGTAAAGGAAGAAAGAAGAAAAAAAATATAAATATAAAATTTTTATTACTTAATTATGATAATTTTAGTAATATTAATCTTTGCTATCTTATATTTTAATGAACCGGACATTATTTTATTATTTTTATTTTAGTTTCTTTCTTTTCTATTTTTATGAAATATTTACTTTATTCTCGTTCTATTTAATTTCGTGAAGTAAATGTGTGGTAAAATAAATATATTGATGAAATAGAAATACAGAATTGTAATTGGTGAGGTTGCTTTTGTAAATGGAAAATGGAAAAATGGTGCCCAGTCTTTTCGGGAATCATTATGATCGGGAAGAATGGGGAAAGCAAAGAGAATAGCATAAAGGAGAAAAAGAAGGAAATGCCTGATATTTATCTGTAGCAATTGTTCTGTCTTTGAAATGTCAAGACAAACAAGCAGCACAATGGCAGCTATGCTTTATTCCTTCTTTCTCTTCGCCTCTAGGCAACCCTGCATTAAAAGACGAAAAACTGGGCCATCTCCCATGCCCATGCATTGATGATCAGCCATGATAATTTGTGGTGATAATAAGAAGGAAGAGGAAAGAATTTTAGGCGAATATATATTATATTAATTTTTTTATTAAAGTTATTCATAAGGAAGTACAATTTTTAATTGAAGGGCAATTCACAATTGAATTGTTCTGCTTACCGTATGTCTTGGCTTTTTTTTTTTTTTTTGATGGAGACAGATTAAAAAATAAAAGAAAGGAAAGAGGTTTCGTTGTAATAAATAAACAAAAATATTTTATATCAACAATAATAGGATTAATATGGATAAAAATGAAAAATTCAATTAATATAAATTGATATATAAATATAATGAACATGATTATAAATCTTACATTTGTTCTATACTATATTACAACTTACAATGTAATATATTTGCATGTAATCATTTAAATAAATATGAACAAAGAGTGATTTATCTAACAGTCCCGCTGTAATACGCGGGCAAAATACTAGTATTTGTTGAAGAAGAAGACGTCATCAGCATGCCATTTGCAATTGGTTTATATATGAAATCCTTTAACACACACATTAGATGGTCCAGAATGTTAGTCACACACCATTTTTTTTTCATACCAACAATTTACAAAACCTGTTTGGATTTGTATGGGAGAAAAGCCTTTAGAGGTTGGCTTTTTTTCTTTTTCTTTTTCTTTTTTATTTAACATAAAAGGCTTGAGTACCACTAGAGGTCGTTCGGTTTATGGTAATCCCAAAATATTTTTGGGAATTTTAGATAATTGAAAAAATATTATCGCATTTGGCATTGTTCACTTGGTAATATTGATTGTTACTTGAATTTATCAAGCGGCTAAGATTACTGCAAAATGTGGTAATCACGTTACCACCGAAACAAATGTCTATCTCAGATTACCGATTTATGGTAATCTTTGGTCAATTTTATTAAAAAATTTTGCCCTTCATCAATTTTTTTATTTTAATTTATTTTTATTAAAATTAATTATTTAATTTAATTAAAAACATTAATTTTCAATTATTAAGATTTATAGTAATTTTATTAAAATTATTTATTTCGTTAGTTCAATTAATTTATAACTAAATTACTCAAAATCAAATTAATAGAATTATATCATTTTATTTTTGTTAATTAAATCAAATTTATTAGTTTAAAAAATTAATTTATCAAATTTAATTCGATCAATTTAATTATTTTTTAATTAATCAAATAATAAAATATATTTAAATTAAATTATATTTTAAAATCTTTACTTGTTATATTTGAAATAAATTAAATAAAATTATTGAATAAAATATTTAAATATTAAATTATTAAATTAAAAATTTTAATAATTTATAAAATAAAATTATTATTTCATATATATTTATATTTATATTCTATTATATATCATTAATTCGATTTTTGAAATGAATTAATCAAAAATTAAAATTTTTAATAATTGTTTAAAATTAATTTGATAATCAATTAATTAATTAAATTCAATCAATTTAATTAAAATTAAATTTTGAACGGCTTAAAATTTTATATCATCTATGAAATAGTGAAATCTTTCTTTTAGAGGGAGGAATCCGATCTGCCTCCCGAGTGCGAAGGAATCTCGTCGTTATTACTACTACTATTTCTCTATTGAAAACACTGCAAAAACGGCCGAGTCCAACTTGGTATTGGTAGCTATCCATCCTTATTTCACATGGCATTATTAAAATTGACAACTTACAAAGGGAGGGGGGGGGGGGTGCAGAGATAGCAATTGTCAGGTCCAGCAACCGTCTCCTCTCACCAACCTAACTTTCAGTTTCCCCACTTTCTTACCAAGCCTGTTCGTGGCTCAACAGACAATGGGTTGGGTGGCTTGCTCAGCCCAGTTTTGTTAGTAGTTTTTTCACCCCTAAAGGCCGAAACTACTAAACTAGCATTATTTACTCTCATCATCTGGGTTATAAAATAAAAATCATGTCAGGTGATTTCAGCGGCGCAATAGATGGGATGAGATAAGATGCCGCTGGCTGGACCACAATACCACCAACTAAACAAGGGGATTTCTAATTATTTAGGCTGCTCCGATATAAAAAAAAAAAAATTGTAATGGATGATCATTAGTGAATATATGAATTAAAGTTAACAGGGCTTTGGCGGGGTGAATTTGCTTGAATTTTTTAGATTACTATGTAATCATGCAATAATAAATAGTGACGGTAAGCATTATTCTCTTCTAATTTCTTGTTAATAACCCGATTGAAAGCTGGCACCGGCATGTATAAAACCACATTTGACTAGTTAGTACTGCAGTATCCTTTAGAGGCCCACCTTTCCATTCGCTGCTGCATTATTGAATGCTCAACTTGATGCTTCAATGTATAGAAAACGGTAACCATGGGAAATCTAGATGCAAAATTACTTTGGCTTATTAGCAATGCTTCCAAATAAAATGAATTTAAAAGGTCATTCATTTTTTTTCATCAAAATTACTTAAACCAAATAATATATATTATTTTTTATTCTTTCTTGAACTCCACACAATGTTAAAAAAAAATAGCCATAATTATAAATGAAATTTCATTACCCATTTCCATGAAAAAAGTTGAGTGAGAAAAAAGTTTTATAAGAGGGTAAGCAAAACATGAGACGTCAATGGTGTGAGGAAAGATGCCCGTTAAAAATAGAAAAATGGAAAACAGCAGGGGATTTAGGTAGGGAATAATTGTAACGTTGTTACCAAACCTTCTATGAAAACGAAGACTGTAGCATTTAACCCTTGAACATTTAATCCCATAATTTGATTCTCTCTCTCTTTCTCTCACTGTCACAGTGAGTCCCCTTTGGCTCTTTTTTGCTTTAATATTTTTTCCTCCTTGCTTTTTCTCTCTTTTCTTGTCTCTTTCCCTTTCATCTTGCTCTCCACACTCACTCCACTTTATACACTCACCCTCTCAAAAAAACCAAGAAAATCTTTTCCTTGTTATTGAAAAACCCATTAAAAAGCCCACTGTTTTACTCTTGCTCACACTTGTTCATTCACTTTTCTCCAAAAGACCCAGATTCTAAATTCGATTTTGTGTTTCTTCTCAATGTGTAAAGCTTGAATCTTTTTTCATATCTAAGAGCTCTTTATTGGGTTTGATTTTTCTTGTGTGAAAGTATCAATGGGCAAAACTGGGCTGGTTTTGGTTGTCGCTTTTTTGCTTCTTCTTCTTGGAGGAGTCTCTTTAGCTCCTCCTACTTCTTCACCTGCGAGTAAGCTTCAAGAATAATAAAAAAAAAGCTTTCTTTTGTTTTGATCTGCTTTTAGTTTAAAGCTTAATCCTTGCGTTGATGACAAATGCATTTTATTTATTTTGTTATTGCAGAGATCGTTAGTGGGTTTTTCTCTAATGTTTTATCTGCTTCTATGAAATGGTTATGGTCACTCAAAACTAACACCAAAACAGGTTTGGATCTCTGACTATTGGAACCCACATTTTTTTTTCTTTTTCAATTTTTTTGGCTTTGGAGCATGGTATCTGATATGGTGGTCTTCATGGGATTAATGTGTGTATAGCAATTAATGGCCGTCCAATGATGAAGTTTGAGGGTGGATACACTGTGGAGACTGTGTTTGATGGAAGTAAGCTTGGGATTGAGCCTTACACTGTTGAGGTTTTGCCTAGTGGGGAGCTGCTGATTTTGGACTCTGCCAATAGCAACCTTTATCGGATTTCTGCTTCTTTATCTTTATGTAAGTGGGTTGCTTCTTTCTTGTAATATTATTCAATTGGTTGGCTTTGTTGATTTTTGTTGCATTTGCCTTTAGTAGTTCAACTTGTTTGCTTTGTTTGTCTAATCGCTTTGCTTTTTTTGGTATGATCTTTGCGTACTGATTGTTCTAAGTCTTGTTATTAATGGAAAACACATAAGGTATTTACATCTGTTGGCAGTCGAGTCTTGTCATACGACTTGCCACATAAAGGACAGTGCATGTTTCTGCTGAGTTGGTATACATAAGCACATGAGGTAGTTGTTTCATGTGTAAACTATTTTAATGTAATTCCAATTCATATCCACTTATTATACTTGAAATTTTTCAAATTTTGATCCAGATAATATTCCAGTCGTTAAAATATTGATTAGTTAGAAGTTAGAAGAATGATGTAGTTGTAGTACCTACTATGTTTTATCAATATTAGTATTGCATTTTGCCGCAAATAAGATGGCGACCAAAAGATCTATGATTAAACGATTTCTTCTCATTTGGATAATTATAACATTTTCTTGCTAAGCGTAGTAACTTGGGAATGCTGTACACCAAGAATATCTTGTATTTATCATAGGCATTTTTAATTTATTGTGCTCCTTCTCAGTTTTATTCCTATTAGGTTATTTTGATGCATTACCTATTCATCACAAATTTTAAGTAAATTTCCGTCTGTCCATTTGTTTGACAACTCTACCATGTAACTCTTTTTTCACTCTAGTGCATGCTTAAAGCCTCTGTTAAGATTGATCATGAGTAAAGGTATAAGTATTCTCTGATGCAATTCTATGATCATGCTATTAGTTTGATTTTGTCCATAACAAGTCTTTTCTTGTGATTCCTTCATTTAAATTCATGGGAGAACTGCAGATAGTAGACCAAGGTTGGTTGCTGGATCCCCAGAGGGACACCCTGGACATGTAGATGGGAAGCCCAGAGAGGCAAGGATGAACCATCCAAAAGGGCTAGCTGTAGATGACAGGGGGAACATTTATATTGCAGACACCATGAACACGGCAATCAGGAAGATAAGTGATGCAGGTTAGTGATATAATCACTGAGTTTTTTGAAAGAGAAATATTTAGTTCAGTTGTTATTTTGACTTAAGTATATAAGTTTTAGGTCCTTTATGCTGCCTGCTTCTGACCTCCATGTCCCTACTATTCTATGTACTAAACATTTGCCATTGTATGTTCTTTTTCTTAAAAATATTAATGAGATCATTTTTTGGCAAGCTTAGCAGTTGCCATTATGTTAAACTTTTGTAAACTCTTATTATGTTTGGAGGATGCTATTAGTATTCTTACTCAAAATAGGGATGGTTGTCAATTATTGCTTATACAAGTGAACTCTTCTTCAGGTGTTACAACAATTGCTGGTGGGAAATGGAGTCGGGGAGGGGGACATGTTGATGGACCAAGAGAAGATGCAAAGTTTTCTAATGATTTTGATGTGGTCTATGTTGGAAGCAGTTGCTCCCTTCTCGTGATAGATAGAGGCAACCGAGCTATCAGAGAGATTCAACTGCATTTTGATGACTGTGCATATCAGTATGGAAGTGGTTTTCCTCTTGGTAAATTAATCCACTCGAATTTGACCTTCATTAATTGCTGATATTGGAGGCTTACACATTACAATTTCTGTCGTTGTAGGAATTGCTGTACTTGTTGCAGCTGGCTTCTTTGGTTACATGCTAGCTTTGCTGCAACGTAGAGTGGGCACCATTGTATCATCCCAGATTGTGAGTGCTCAGTGTTATTATTTATATGCAAATTCTTTACTTATGATTTTCTTCGGGGGTATTTTAACTTGACTTTTGCTTTGGCTGAGTCATGTATGTAAAAATATTATCTTAGAAGTATTCCTCAACCATAAGTTTTGTTCTATAACAGAATAGAATAGATGCTAGAGATCAAAACTTGAACCTAGATGAGGACAGCAAACATCTTTTTTTCAGCTGGAAATTGCTTCATGGGGCTGTCTTGTTCTGAAATGGCATTATTACTTTCATCTAAACTTAAGGTTGCAAAATCTTCTAAAACATAGTGAATTTTTTTATGTTTGTTACTTTGGTCATGAAGGATCAGGATTCAGTTAAAGTGAATGCTACCGTATTGAGTCCTTATCAGAAACCCCTGAAATCAGTCAGGACACCTTTAATTCCAACTGAAGATGAACAAGAGAAGCAAGAAGAAGGCTTCTTTGGATCCCTTGGGAAGCTTTTTGTCAATGGTGGTGTTTCTGCTTTGGAAATTTTGGGAGGAGTATTTCCTGGTTTTAGAAAGAAGCCGCTAAGCTATCAATATCAGAGCCAGCACCAACAACAGAAGCACTCGATGTCTTGGCCTGCACAAGAGAGCTTTGTGATACCAGATGAAGATGAGCCCCCATCAATTGATACCCGAAACCCCACTCCACGGAAAACATACCCTTTTATGTCCAAAGATGCAGAAAAGATCCATCAGTTGCGTCAAAGCCGGGCCTTCTACAGTGGATGGGATGCAAATATGCAGCAGCAGCAGCAGCAGCAGCAGAAACAGCAACATCATCATCGCTATCAGTCATCTACCCCGCAAACTTACTATGAGCAGAGCCATGAGAAAACGAATGAGATTGTTTTTGGGGCAGTTCAAGAACAAGATGAGAAGCACGAAGCTGTGGTCATAAAGCCTGTTAATTACGGAGACAACACGTATGATCATCACAATTTTCGCTTCCGATCAAATTTGGGTTACAGTTGTGACTATTAAACACAACATAGATTTTGGAGTAATTACCTCATTCCAGCATGATGTTGGTCCTTAAAAATTTAGGATAGTTAAAGATTTGTTCACAGAGAAATGAGTGTCTGTGGCCTGTGGAGCAGCTTTAGTGCTACATGGAGGGGTTGGGCTTCACTCTCAGGTCAACTGGCCTAAATTTTGTAAGGCTGCTTGCATTAAATATCCTGAAACTCTCTTATATCTGATTCAAGTCTTTTTCTGGGAGCTGTATCAAAAATACCTTACAAATGCTACCATGCTTTAAACTATTTAATTAATGAATTTAATCAATCTTAAACTTACCAAATATGGCTGATAAATTAATGCTACTATACTTTCTAAGCATTTGCACTGCACGTGATTGCAACTTTTTAAAGATTTATAATATGTATAAACACTATCATGTTACTTTAGACCGTTGAAGATCCATAATCATGCTTTAGCCTTTTGGAAGGGAATATTATATCATGGCATAATGAAGGAAATATTATACTATTACTGTCATTATTCATAATTTTTTTATCACTTTACCATTTTTCAAATGACACAGAAAACTCCAATTATAAAAATTCCCATGCAGCTATTGCAAAACCATTTTACTTCCTTAACTTTAATTATGATAGTCCATATATCAGACAGCTGAAATCACATAGATTGGAGGTCATATTAATGATTCCCTTTCCAACTTTAAATCTATTTACTTTGCCATTTGGGTCAATTTTCTCTGTTTTTTTTTTTTTTCATCTATTTTATTTTGGACTCCTTTTAGTAAACTTTTCTCTGTTATTTTATTTGTACAAAAGAGTTCTTCATTTGGAGATAGAAAAATAGATTGTATAGATAAAAATTTGAATCACATATTTATTTGACGTTACTTCTTATATCGTGTTTGGTATCATTTTTAAGATTATTATGATAATTTAATCAACAAAATAATTTTATCATTCATGATTGGAAATTAATTTATTTGATTAACAATAATTAATTATTAAAAATTAAAGATCACTATATTTATATTACTAAAAATTAATTATTATTTTATTTGAAAGCACAAAAATAACCACAATCTTGTAATAGTTATATAAGTTAATGATTTCAATATTTTTTCTAAGACAATAATTTGTAAAAGAGTTAATAGCATTCACAATCTCCAAATTTTAAGTTAAATTCTATTTTGGTCCATAACTTTTAAAAAATTCTAATTGAATTATAATTTTTAAAAAATTCTAATTGAATTTTTAATTACTCAAAGTTGCACTAATTTTGATCCTTTCAATTACTGAACCATATAAGTTGATAATAAATGCCAGTTGATGTCCTGTGAATAGTATCAATAAGCATCTCATGTGATAGATAGAGGGATTAAAGTAAAATTTTTCTCAAAGTTTAGCCATGCTACTATCTCAATTTTTTTCAAATATATTTTTATTTGTTAAATTTAAAATAATATATTTTTATTTTTATTGTAATATAATTTAGTAGTTAAATATTTTTTATTTTTGATTAAACTAGATATTCAAAAATTAAAAGTAAGTTCAAAATTTTAAAATCTTTTCGAAAAAATTTCCATAACATTTCAAAAATAAAAAAAATTATGTTATATTAAAAAAATATTTTTTAATCATAATAGAAAATGTTATTTTCTATCAAAAATTTATTTTCCATAAAAATATCTTTTCCTTTTTCTAATATATTTTATAAAATATATTATATAACAAACAAAAAAGAATAAATATAAATAATTCAAAAAATTGATTTTTTCTACATTTCATATATATGTTATAAAATATTATAATTTAAAATAATTTTTTTATTTTTTCTTATAATATTATTTATCAATAAAATATTATTTTAATAAAATATATATATAAAATTAAAATACAGTTAAAATCATTTTTTTCTTAAAAAATTCTATATCATTTTAAAAAATTAAATAAAAATGTCTATATCAAATTAAAAAATTAAATAAAAAACTCAATATCCTTTTAAAATATTAGGTAAAAATTTCATATCATTTTAAAAATAAATTTATTAATCTATTTTCTATCCAAAAAAATCTATTTTGAATATATTTTCTATTAAAAATTTTATATTTACATAAAATAAAATATATTATTTTCAATAACTCAATTTTTCCTTCTTACTATACAGGCGGTAAGTGCCATTTTGATTGTCTATTTTTAAAATTTTTTTATAAATATAAAATTTTAATAAAGAATAGACTCAAAATAATTTTTTTTTCAAAAGAAAATTATTATGAATAGATTAATAAATCAATTTTTTAAAATGATTTGAAAATTTTTACCTAATATTTTAAATTTAACATTTAATAAAATATATCCAAAATATATAACTAAAAAAAAAAAAAACTAGAGATGGTAACATCCTTGGGCCTAAATTTTGAGCAAAATTCTATTTTTATCCCTCTATCTGTCATGTGAGATGCCAACTATGCCATCCATATGACATTTACCTTTAATTTAGATGGTTTTATAGATAGAAGGATTAAAATAAGATAATTTTGGATAATTAAGAATCCAATTAAAACTTTTTAAGGATTATGGATCAAAATAAAATTTGAGTTAAAATTTATGAACTACGGGTGCTATTTACCATTTATAAAATATTAGTACTATTTTATTTATTTTATAATAAATATAATTAAATTATTAAATTAACAAATATATGTATGAATAGATAAACTATTTTTATAGTATAAATTATGTAAAAATATTTGAATTAGAAAATAAAACTAATCTATTAAAATCATAACAAAAGAAAAAATATTATATTTTGTGTATAAAATATAAAAAATTAAAAGAAAACATAAATTATTTTTGAACTTATTACAATAAATATTAGTTTGCAAGTTATTTTTGAACTTTATCTCGATGATAAAATTTTTTCACTTTTTTAGATAAAAATTAGATCATCCTCTAAGAAAGTGATATAATCATTTTCAATTATCTAAGATTACTACCAAATAAGATCATTAAGTACTTACCAAACATAATAATTTAATTACTATGTATAAATCACTATAATTTTTAAGAAAATCATTTCGTACCAAAAATATTACCTTAAAATAGTGTTTGATATAGAGTAATCACTCAAAAAAGCATGATGATCTACACGTGTTGATTAAATCACTATGTTTGGTAACCACTTAGGTGGCATTTGGTTCATGAAATCGTAGATTTCAGAAGAAAGTGTGATCCCTAGAAAAATGTGATACCCAGGGTTTTCTTCCAATTTTTAAGGCATTCTGTGTTCAAATTCATTCATTTGGTTGGGAATAATTCACATATATTAAATCCTGAATAATTACTATAATCTTCTTGGAATATATGATGAAAACTTAAATAATTCAATTTTTAATTGAAGGGGATTATTCATAGCGTTTTAAGCTCGAAAACGCCTTGAATAATCATTACAAAAAATTTTTGTGAAGAGATTATCGAATGTGTTTTTTGAACAAAAAAGCCTTGAATAATTCCCTCTAAAAAATTAAAAGAGATTATTCAAAGTGTTTTTGTTAAAAAAACGCCTTCAACAATCTCCTTCAATTTTTTTATTAGAGGATTATTCAAGGCGTTTTTTGCCAGAAATACCTGGAATAATCCCCATTTAATTTTTTGTAAGGGATTATTTAAGATATTTTCTGACAAAAAAACCTTGAATAATCACCGTCAATTTTTATAAATGGATTATTCAAGACATTTTTGATAAAAAATACCTTAGATATTCCCTTAAAAAATTGAATTGCATTATTCAAGGTGTTTCTGGTCATCCCTTTCAAGACGTTTTTAGACAAAAAATGCCTTGAATAATCCCTTAAAAAATTGAATAGGATTATTGAAGGTATTTCTAACCAAAGGTGCCTTGAATAATCCTCGTTAATTTTTTTGAATGGATTATTCAAGGTATTTTTTAGCAGAAAACACCTTGAATAATTCTTTAAAAAAATTGAATGAAATTATTGAAGGTATTTCTGACCAAAGAAGCCTTAATAATCCCCGTTAATTTTTATAGGTGGATTATTTAAGGTATTTTTGACCAAAAACGCCTTGAATATTCCCTTTAAAAAATTGAATTGGATTATTCAAGGCGTTTCTAACTAAAAACACCTTCAATAATCCCCTTGTAATTTTTTTATGGATTATTCAAGGTGTTTTTGGTTAGAAAATACTTCGAACAATCTCATACAATAAATTGAATAAGATTATTAAAGGCATTTTTGGTCAAAAATACCTTCAATAATCTCATTAAAATTTTTTACTAGGAGATTATTTAAGGTATTTTTGCCTAGTAAATATATTGAATAATCCCTTACAAAAAAATTTAATGGGATTACTCAGGGCTTTTTTTTGGTAAAATGCGTTTAGTGATCATTTTTTAAATTCATTCTTGAACTTTGAAAACCCAAACAGCTATTACAAAATGATAAACCTAAATCTACATTGCAACCAACCCCTAAACCATCAACCTATTTACTTTGCCTTTTTGGTTTCTTCATCTTTTTCGTTGCTACCAACCATCAATAACTTAATGCCGTCACACCTTTTTTTTTACCGATATGTATGTATTTTATTTATTTGTTGTGTTATGTATATTCTTCGATATAGATATTTTTTATTTGTTCCTTACTATATATATATATAACTTTTTTTTTTAATTCATTCCACCATCACCTTAGTCACCCAATTTCCCTTCATCGCATATATGGTATTTCTTTGTAGTTTGGTTATAATATTGTGGTTTGCTGAATGGTATTATGAAAATTATGTGTATTTTTTTACTTATCATTTGTTTTGTATGAAATTATTATTTCACACAGAAACATAGAAAAAACACAGGTATGCATAGGGAATTTCCAAGAATGTCATAACAGTTCAAACTTTGTTGATGGTTTTTTAAATTTGGTGATTAGATTTTTGTCAATTTTTTAATCGATTGAATGATTTGGAGGTTAAAGTGACCTTTAAGAAAATGAAAAATTAGGGGTATCAAAAATAGGATTTCAAGCAAACTCCAACACTTTAAGATTGAGTTAGAATGAAAAGAGGGTTCAAAATAAGATAATTGTGTTTTAATCTAATCTTCTATAAAAATTAATATTGAAATAGCTAATCGACTTATTTAACATTAATTAAGTGTTTGAGTGTTGGATCAGTTAACATGGTTATCAATTTAACGATCAGTATTGACTTGACGATCAAAATATTAATTGGTAACTAGAGTATAACAAACTTTAAAAAGGTGAGAATCATAATATGGCTTGTACCCATAAAATCTTA